CTATGGTTGCAAATATCAAAAAATTTCTATATGTGACACGGCACCAGTGTTAAGTTAGGGTTTTGCAAAATGCTGATGCGCCGAGCTCAAAAGGTTCGCCATCACTGCCCTAGGGCTTCTGGACTGCAAGAGGGCACAGGTGAGGCTGAAGGACCTCCCCACCCCAGAGTGCATGAATTTTGTGCACTGGACTTCTAGTAGTTTCATAAGAGTACTGGATATGAAAGCACATGGAATAGAAACTTACATTAATGTGAGACTAAAGGAAAATATAATACAACTTCTCTGAGCAGTCTGTCACTAAGATCCTATTATTTGTAGGTTAAAAAAAATTGCCTATAAAGCCAACTAGTGTATGTAGAAACACAGTTTATATGTCTGTTTGTCTATTGGGAACTTTATAGTTTACAGGTGGTATTCTTTTCATTTCAGATATATTTTTTGAGTGCTCATTATGTGGTGGCCATTGTTGTTTTTTTTTAACAAAAATATATATGTATTTTTTTATTGATTTCAGAGAGGAAGGGAGAGGGAGAGAGAGAGATAGAAACATCAACGATGAGAGAGAATCATTGATTGGCTGCCTCCTGCACGCCTCACACTGGAGATCAAGCCTGCAACCAGGGCATGTTCTCTTGACCAGGAAGCAAACCATGATCTCCTGGTTCATAGGTCTATGTTCAACCCTTGAGCCATGCTGGTTGGTTCTGTTGTCTTTATAACACCCCTCTGAGACAGGCAGAAATTATTGACAGGTGGAGAAACTGAACTTGAGAGATTAGTTGATCCTTATTACCAGGTTCTACTAAATTAATTATTCTCCTTAACAAAAACCCTATGATCATGACTTTTATTTCAGTTTTCTGCCTTATAACATCTGTAGGATTTCATCTCCACTTGAATATCTAATAGCTGTCTCAAACTTAACTTGGCCCCAACTCAATTTCTTTTTTTATCCTTTCCAATCTTCCTGATCTCAGTAAATGGTATCACCATCAACCAGTTGCTCAGGTCCCAAACTTCAGAGTCATCCTTGACTGCTCTTCTCTCACACCCATGTCTAATCCATCAGTAAGTCAGCTCTGCTTTCAAAATATATTCCAGAAATCTGACCACTTATCATCATCTTTACTTGTTTCACTAATTCAAGCCACTGTTATTGTTTGTCTATATAATTTCAATAACTTTCTATCTGATTACCTTGCCTATACTAGTGCCTCCTTATAGTATATCCTCACAGCATCTGGAGTTAACTTTTTAAAACCTAAAACATTTCAAGTCACTTGGTTTTTGTTAAGATTTTATATTCTGGTTGAAGTCGACTTGTTTAATTAGTTTTCAAAGCATTTGTCACTACCTCAGGTTATATTTATGTGCTTTTCTCCTGCATTATGTTGTATCTCTTCTGTCAAGCGTAATCACTACACTAGCCCTAGCTCTTTTAACAGTGTTTGGCCTGTAGTAGGTACCCAGTAAATAATTATAAATGAATAAACCAAAGCACAGGTGATACACTGGCTTTAAATGAGAGGGTGCCTTTATTGTAAGAGGAGGGAATCAAGAAAGGATGTATTAGCTTTATTAGAGGAGAATGGAGGAAGTTACTAAATAAAGGCTTTTTACTTCTCTATGAAGTAGGAGGTATAGTCACCTGCCAGTAGTTGGAGAGATTATGGGGCAGAGGTTTATTAATAAATTAAAATAATTAGTATGTACTAAAATATTTAATGTTAAACCAAAAGAATTACTAAGCTGAAACAATTAGATGTCGGAGAAATAATTCTTGATGGTTGTGTCACTGGGAAGGCTTCTTGGTGATAATGAGTTTAGGTCAGGCTTTTCTAGACCACTAGGACTTGGATAGGTGGAGAGGTAACAAGGTATTGCAAGCAGGAAAAACAATAAAGATTCAAAAGAACCTGGGATGGTTTGGGAGATATCGAATGTTTGGTTTGACTGCTATAGAAAAGGAAGCTGGAGAGGTCCAGTGACAAGTTTTGTTTTCCAGGCAAAGGGGAGCCATTGGAGGCTTCTGAGTAGAGGAGGAACATATTTAGAATGAGTGCTCTGGAGATATTTTGCAGAATTAGAAAGATGGGAGGTTTAAAAGATAATGCAGTAAAGGCATTAAGGTAAAATTGAAAAGGAAGGGATTGATTTAGAGTTGCTTTTTTATAAGAAAAAATGTCAGGACCAGAGTTCCTGGTTGTAGGCAGGGAAGGAGCTGAACAATTTAAATGTCTAGGAGTTTTTGACCTTGTGTGACTGAAGACTAGTCGTGTTCTTATAGAACTGCTGGACATGGAAACAGGTGTGGTGGTAGTATCAGATATTACAGAGAAGGGTTTTTCTGTCTCTGAATATGAAGTCTTTGATAATTGTTTTCAAATTGTGGTTCTTTACTTATATTACTCCTAATAACTTGTCATTTTGATCATTAGGTGTTTCTTATGAATATTTATAGCTTCTTACACATATTAATTAGAATCAGACTGATTTGGATTGGGAAGACTTATTCCTGTTCCATTAGATTTTAAGAAAAATAATTAATGAGTGGTAAGGCAGAATATTTCCTTAGATCATATATTGCTGTTTATGGTGCATCACAATTTTGAAAGTACTTTCACTTCTGAGATATGGGTAGTTTGGATTTGCTATTCACTTATCTCTGTGTTGTTTTTTTTAAGTACAGTTAAGTTTGGTTTATTTTCAGATTATAGGAAGTGTTAAATTTCAGTACAATTATCCCATAATAATTGACTGGTTCTGATGTTCCTCCTGTTCTCTCATAGTATCTTGTGCATTACAGTATCTCTAAGCTCATTGCA